TGGGGGTTTTTAGTTTATTTTGAGTTCTATGTACTCGACATCCTTGCTTTTGCTTTTTTGGTGTTCACTTAAGTATTGAGTGTTATTTTCCAAATTCCCAGTTTTTTAATTTTGCCATGTTCATTCTCCTGGTGACGTGGAGCTGAATTTTCCAGAAAAACCATCCATAGCTATCAGCATTCTCTCCCTCAACAATGGTGAAGGCTAAAGGAAAGACTTGTCTATTTGCATCCGCACCACTGGCAATCAGGAGAGTGCCCTTGTACTTGCCGGTAAGGAATGTACCATCCACTTGGATCACAGGGACACAGAAGCCAAAACCATCAATAGATGGCTTGAATGCCCAAAAAACACGTTTGAAATGGCATTTGCCACCAGGCTCTGCCGGCTGTATCTCTTCATCTTAGTATCGAGGGGAGAAAACAGAGCCAGGGATAGACGCCTCCAATGCCAAAATCAACCTGGGAAGGAATGCATACGATTCTTCCCAATCACCAAAGACGGCGGCCAGAGCTTTCTGCTTTCCATGCCACGCCTTCTTATAGTTAATAATATAACCATAACGACTTGTAATGTCAGCGATTATGACTTTCACCTTCAGGTCGGGATCTTGCTCAATTAGATGCTAGATAGCCGTGGCCACCACCTTGGTTTTCAACTGTCGATGGCCTTGGGATGTTATGGATGGCACACATGTGTGTGTGTTCACCGCACAGGATATGACCCAATAGCCGTGTCTCTTGCTGTTGATGGCCCGAATCCTAGCATTGCATCCCTCTTGTTAATTACGACATCTGACTATTAGCCTCTTTGTGTTGGAATGAGTTGTGTGCCATTCAACATTCCGAGTCATTGCTTCAGTTTCAATGGCATGCCGCACCTCCTTCTTCGAACCAAATTGTTGGCCCTTCATAAACCTAGTGAGTGGACCCCATACTGGGACCTTTGGCGACTCCATGTTGCCGTCGACACACCAATTGTCATCTGGAATGTGAGTGTAGTACGGTATAGGTACACGATCACGAGACAACTCATCATCATCTGAGTCTGACTCTGGGCCTCATGAATCATCAGCACCTTCAAGAGGGTCAGAGCTGTATGCACTGACATTGCTCCCTTCTTCTTCATCGGAGGGGTCACTAACTGGTGCTAGCAGGGCATCTTCCATCTGATCCAGTTCATGAAAGGCACCTTCATCAGCTTCGTAATGGTAGTTGTGAAAACTGTCGCTGCTTGAATGGAAGTTGTACTCGGGTTGGTTGGCATGGTCCCGAAGGTCTTCTTCTTAATATGGTGGGAAAGATTGATGATGACCTTCACCTTGCTCTTGGTACTAAAAGTAGGAATGAAGATCATGGTAACTTTGGTAGGGATGATCTCCATATAATTCACCTCCACCATGGATACCAGATGTTTGACCGTCTCCATAATGACCTCCAACGCCTTCGACCGCCTCGGTGTAAACGAACATCTCGGCTTTGGAAAGATTATTGGACCTCAAAAATTCGAGCATGACATCTATTTCATCCTGAGTGGTTATGAGATATTCCTCATGCCACAACGACCCGCCTTCTCTGTTTGGATATCGGTGTACCATACGATAAACTCTTCTCTTTCCATCTATGCAAGTAACGTTAGTACACATTTGATGGAGGTCTTCAAGCATCGGTCTAGTAGCGACCTTTATTTTCTGAAAATTGCCACTGACGTAGGTGACCCCCTTTCCGGTCTCTTCCGTGTAACCATTCCAACGTAACCCAAGCGTGAACTTTTGAAATGCCATCTACGGTAAAACCGTAATTCAGTTAAAATCATAAAAATCACAAATCACAATAAAAAGTAGGGTGTGCCTACGGTGACATGCATGTCACGGTGACTTGCACTTTCCGGTCGACCTCAGTTAGGATTAGGTCGACCTCATTTAGAATTCGGTCGACCTCATATAGGATCTGGTCAACCTCATTTAGGATTCGGTCGACCTCATATAGGATCAGGTCGACCTAATCTGTTGTTTCAGTGTAAAAACAGTTCATGGTGCCTACTTTGGATATTCATATCATACAATTGGCTAGATGGAAGTTGAAGACTAATGACTTGTTTTGAAGCTGGAGTGTCCCTCTACATATTGAAGTGATTGAGAGCTCGATAGGAAGTCCAGAAGACCATTTTTGAACCTCATCAAAAGGCTATGCCAAAACTGGGAAACTGCCTAGAAATGGCTAAGTCTGGAAACGTGTTTGTGAAGCCTATTTTGGAGCTTAATTCGAGAAGCATGAATGCGAGTCGAGTCCAGGAGCCTCTACCACGTTAAATTAGGTATGTTTTTATACAAATTCAAGGCATTGGATGAAAGATTGAATATCTGTAAGGCTTCAAACAAAAAGGTCGAAGTTGCTACGAAGGCTGTTTTTCTGGCAGACTTCGAGCACAAGCAAGCTGCCAGAAAAAACAGTCTTCGTAGCAACTTCGAGCCTTTTGTTTGAAACCTTAATGATATTCAATCTTTCATCCAATGTATTGCCTTTGTATAAAAAATACTTAATTTAACGTGGTAGAGGCCCCTGGACTTGACTCGCATCCATGCTTCTCAAATTGAGCTCCAAAGTAGGCTTGACAAACACGTTGCCAGACTTAGCCATTTTCAGGCAGTTTCCCAGTTTTAGCATAGCCTTTTGGTCAGGTTCAAAAATGGTCTTCTGGACTTTCTATTGAGCTCCCAAGTAATTTAATGTGTAGAGGGATACTTCATCTTCAAAACAAGCCTTTAATCTCCAATTTCCATCTAGCCAATTGTAAGATATGAATCCCCAAAGTAGACACCATGAAACTGTTTTTGCACTGAAACAACATATTAGGTCGACCTGATCCTATATGAGGTCGACCGAAAAGTGCATGTCACCGTGACATGCATGTCACCATAGCAAAGTCCTAAAAAGTAATACAAAACAAACTTATGAGTTAACGTTAATTGCAAAGGTGCTACAACAGAAAATTGAAGGAGAAGAAGGACATGTGTGAAGAGAAGAGGTTTCCCGGGGCTGCCTTTTATAGGTTAAATCATCAATGAAAACCGCAGGGGGAGGGTGCGGTTTTCATCTGCCATGCAGCCCCACGTTTGTCAGCCTGCGTGGCCAACATGCTGGATGTCGGAAAAATGAGACGTGGGGTGCGTTTTGTGTGTCGGCTATGGAAAAACCGCCTCCTGAGGATGCAGATTGGGTTAGAGAAACAAAACCGCATCCTCAGCAGGCGGTTCTACTAGGTCGGCCTAAGAACCGCCTTGCCAAGAGGCGGTTCTGTTAGGTCAGAACACAAACCGCCTGCCCAAGATGCGGTTTAGTACCTGAAACTCAAACCGCACCCTCAGGTTGCGGTTTATATGTAAACCGCACTGCCAAGGTGCGATTTTGAAAAAAATGTGCTAGTTTTGGAATTTGTGTGAATTGGGTGCTATTTTTGTAATTTTTTTAATGGTGCTATTTCTGGAAAAATTCATAAAATCAATAATAGTAGTCAAAACTATTCTTTATTCACCACCTTTTGAAGTATATGGTCAGACTGTAGTGCATTTCGAAAATATGATGAATATTCTATACTATAAGAAACAACATTTTTTCATGTAAAAATAGTATGCGGGTCATATGGGTGACCTGCAATCCACCCACCACCCACCCACATAAGTGCGGGTGGAAGATTTATCAATCCGCAATCCATCCACATCAATCACCCATTGCGTGTGAGTCGGGTTATTTGCGGATGGATCGATATCAATCCGCGGATTAACCACCCACATGTCCACTCCTACTTTTTGGAACCTATTATGAAAGTAGAGGAAAAGACTTATTAAGAAGTGTTAGAGGGTGAAATTGATTCCATTTTTATAGGATTATCAAATGGCATTTGCAAGTTCCTCAAATGATTGCATTACTTGTCTAAGTTATCCAAACCTTTATCGGTCACCCCCATAATCATTGAGAGTGAAAGAAAGAGGGGGACGGCAATCAGTAATTCCTAATCCACAAAGGTGTAACTTTACCAGAGTAAACTTCGATGTCTAATCTAATAGACCTAACTGCCCTCCCCAGTTTGTCTTACTTACTAACAGGCACAGCCGCTTCTTTCTGACTTGGAAACTCTCTAATCGACAAAAACGTGTTACATAACGCGTGATTGCATTATTGCCCTGAATCTGTATATCCTTGTTTAGTTTCCTCTGGAAGCATTCGCCACAAACCCTGCCTTTTGTGTTCAAATGAGACAAAGCATTTCAAAGGCTGGCCACTAGCTTTCTTTCCCCTCAGTGCACTATGTGTTTGGCCACTAGTTAACAGCATGCTCTGCTTTTAGGTTTGTCTGTTTTTCCTCATAGTCAAGTAAATTGTTGGGTGGCTAGAAGGGTTCCTAGCCTGTTGAGACCTTAGCTGCTACGACCCATACATCCCAGAAACCCAGAAGGGCTATCAGAGCTTGGATCCACTTCTATTGAGATGACGAAAGCCTCAGCCCAGAAAGAGTGTAGTCAAGAATCAAAGATACTGGAATTCCCATCAAAGTTTATAGGCCTCTAGTGTATTCCAATTCCATGCGAAAGCTATATATTGGATATGGATGAGATAGGCATGTTTGATGAAGTTTAAATGTTGCAATTGATAATTATGAACTCTTATATGCGTTGTAAAATTTGAAGATTCTAGCAGCCTGAATTTACGGTTGCAATTTTACATAGCCTTTGAATCCTCCTTAGATTGATAGCTTGACTACCTAAACCGAGAATATTTAGATGGTACAAGATGTCACCTTTACAGCAGACTGATTATAACATTTTCAAAATGAAAACTCTATGAATATTATACAAGTATTATTTCTCATGAAAGTTGGAACCATGCTATTCGACGGTTGTAAAGCTTCTAATTCTAACTTGCTTCTGGAATCTATAAAAGAATCTACAGTTTAACCACTCCCAGCCAAATTTGACTGTAACCTCACAAATTATATTTGGGACCAAATTAGATAATTTGTTGTCCAGTTTGCGGGACGGTCCGACATGGCGGGGCAGAGCAGGTACTGGAGATTCCCCAGAACGATGCAGCAATTGCAAGAAATCCGTAAATGTAACCTCGGAATTGAGGCACCGAGGCCCTACCAACTAACTATCTCCATTGATGAAATGATGATTCACCCAATTGGCCCGCTTGGGTCTGAAGAAAGAAAGAAAGAAAGAAAGGGTCTCCATCGCATTAGTTGGAATCAATCCTGTTGACGTTTCACGCAGCCCACAAAATCTCTGCTTTTTCAAACTCGGTTTGGTAGAACCAAAGAAATCAAAGGCAGATGGAAAATATAAACAAACCAGAATATATAGGAATAGGATTCCCGCCTCCGCGGGGCGGGGCGGGGCCTGCCCTCTCTCTCTCTCTCCTGTCCTGTTCATTCAACACCAAATTCCACCAATTTGATTAGCAAATGCTAAACGGCTTGGCGTAGGATGTTCTTACCATCATGTTTTCTACGATCCACATTCTATGAGTGCAAGAAGGAGGAAACCCTTTTTTTTATGAATAATCACTGTTCTTAAAAATCCAATCTTTAAATAAATTGCTAATTTGATAATAATTACCTTAATGCTGGTCCTTAATTTCTTCAAATTTACAAATGAACCATACGCGACGACTCTGTTCTAGTTGAAACAGAGCTCGACCGGGACAGAGAATTACACGACGACGAGGAATTCAAGAACTCTATACAATCCTCAATCGCCTCGATCCGCTGCGAGTCCACCGCCTCGGCCAGCGACCTCGACCTCGGCAGGTAGCTCGGCGGCGGGGGCGGCGACTTCCTTGACCTTCTCGGCAGGGACACGAACCGGAGAGCTCGGGCTACTTTGGCGCCGAGTCGCCGGAGCATCCGGCAGGTAGTAGAGAACCTGGAGATGCGGCACCGGAGCCTGAAGCTGAAGATCCCCACGGCGAACGGCCTCTTCCTGTGGACGGAGACTAATCTGCATGAGCCCAAGCTTGCCTGTTTGAGGAACACCGCCGTCGGCTTCTCGGTCACGTCCGGGGTGAAGGTGACTCGTTTACTCGATTTCCGAGACATTTCTGTTGTTGCAGAGTGCGAAGAAGAAGAAAAAGAGAGAAGGAAGAGAAGATTTTCAAGTTGTGGAAAGGAAGGCGAAGGGGGTGAGATGGTGAAGCGTATTTATTTGGGAAGAGTTTTCAAATAATATGAAACCAAAATGTCGGAAAGTAAAAGGGGTGCGCCAACATGGACGGGTTTACTTTAATAGGGGTTTTTTCAATTGCTTAAAATTCAATGGTTTAGACTTTAGACTATGAATGATGAACCACTAAACCTTTTTTAAGTTTGGTTGTTGGCTATTAACTTTGAATTTAAAATGAGATTAGTTATCTTTTTCTAATCACTCATGAGTACTTATAATCATGAATCGTCATACCAAATCGTTGAAATTGACAATTCAAAGTATTTTGATTAATACTATGAATGAGATGATAAAGTATCACAAATATTGCTGGCTTAAGGTTACTATTTGGAGGTTATTTTGGGCTATCAATATGAATGAGTTGGACTACCGGACAACGTTTCTGGTTTAAGGTTTTGAATTTGAATTTTGGGTAGTTATTTTCTTTTTTAGCACTTCTACTATGCTATATAATATTGGTGCTTTAATGTACAACTCAAGTTGCACCATAACATTGAATGTATAAGTTTAGGTTGTTTATGTTATGGTACAACTTTACAACTTGAAGTTGTACCATCACATAAAGGTACAAGTTCAAGTTGTACCATTAAAGAATTTGTACAAAAAGTATAGGTACAATCTAAAGTTGTATCATAAAGTAAATGTACAATTTTAAGCTGTACTATAAAGGCAAAAAACCTATAGCACCAATACTATATAACATTGTAAAATTTCTCTTTCTTCTTTGTATTATTTATTAAATTTGCATTGAATGCAAAATTAGTAGCTTAGAGCATAAAATAAGAGAAATAATGAGATTAGCTATCTCATAAAAATTCTTGATTAATTGGCACCAGATTCGTGGGTCAAATTAATGATGACAAATCTCTCTTGTCTATTCAATTTTTCCCCAATATCGAACTGGTAAATGTCTGACCAAATGATATCTACATGCTCGGCGATGAATGTACATAGTCTTTTCTTTTATGCTAATAGTAATAGGTATCGTATTACTTTTTTTGCTTACATGGGAGGCTAAAAAGCCAAAGAACAAGAAAATAAACGGGGCAGAGAGCGGCTACAGAGTGAAGGGGGTACCAGGAGAACTTATGATGCTCCTGGGAAAGGTTTGACCTCTGCTGTCATCGCCTAAAATAATAAGAAGCCCTTGGGGAGGTAATTCCAACTCATACTTACCATAGGCATAGACGAGACTGTGCTTCGAGAGCCAGTCCGCGACTCTATTCCCCTCCCGATAAGTGTGAACTAGCCTTACCGCCCAATCTCGAGCTATCCTGCGTCTGATAGCGGTCAGTAGAGTTGCTTGAGGGTGAATCAAATCATTCCTTTTCTCTATGAGCTGCAGGGCTATCTGAGAGTCGGATTCCACTATGAGAGTTCTGCTGCCAGCTTGCCAAGCTACCCCCAGACCATGATAAATGCCCCTAAGTTCCGCTTGGACAGACGAACAAGAGCCTAGGTTGACGACGAAGCCTCTGATCCTGGCTCCCTGATGATCTCTTAAGACACCTCCTGCTCCTGCCGACCCCTGAACCCCGTTAGCTATGCCATCCACATTTATCTTTGTCCATCCAGCCGGAGGGGGGATCCACCCTATCTCTCGGAGCGTGCAGTGAGCTGGGGTAGAGCAGCGCCCGAGACTGTCCTGCGGCGCATTACAAGCTTTATACCACAAGGTCGCTTTAATCTTTATTGCTTGGGTCAAGGAGGGCGGCGAAAGAGTCTTGTCAATTCCCTTGAAAACACCCTCGTTCCTGTTCTTCCACAGATTCCAAATTGCAATGCTGAAGAAGGCTTTCCAAGGGGTCTCGATTCCCCTCATCTCCTCGGTCTGCAGATTCTTCGTTAGCCACTGAAAAAATCTCCCTGCTTCTCGATGGGGACTGTGCGCGCCCAGAAGAAGGCAGCAGGTGAGCAATCTCTGAAGATTGACTAAGCATCCTCTGTGACGCTTACAATGCTCTCCTCTATCAGACTGGCCTCGAACTCGCTTCTCACTAACTGCTCCTCTAGCTCCTCTAGCTCTTCAAACTGGTCAGTCGGATAGAGGAGAGCAGTGTAAGCGTCACGGAGGATGCTTAGTCAAGGGTTTCAGTAGCAACAACATTAGAGATTAGTAGTTATTTACATTTATGATTATGTGTATAGACTGGAGATTATTTTGAGATTTTTAGTATGGAGTTTGCCTACTTGTTAGGGCTTTGTTTTGATCTACAAGTGCGTGTTTTCAGTATTTTAGTTATGAAAATTTTTCCCGCTGCCATATAAGATTTGAGCATTTTATTTATCAAGGAAATTTTAGTCAAAGTAGTACCCGGCCGGGTTAGGGTGTTTCAATAAGTGAGGACTCGGATATGCCACTCATCCTTGGTCTTCCCTTTCTTGCCACCTCCAAGGCACTGATAGACGTTCATGAGGGGATCTTAATTCTAAGGGACGGTAAGGAGAGAATTAAGCTTGAAATTGACCCTAAGGTTGGGAGTGATGAAGTGAAGGAAGTGATTTCAAATGATGTGAATGAGAGTGGAGGAGAGCCTCTCAAGGCAAACCTCACCATTTCTTGTGTTCCTTTTGGTAATGTTGAGCAGGAAATGAAGGAGGGTACTATGCCCAAGGAGAAGAGGAAGAATGATTGGAGGAAGAAGATGCAAGAAGCTTTGGCCCGAAAGAAGGAGAAGGCCAAAGCGAAGTTGGCCAATCAAGAGGGCCAACTCATGGAGTCTAAGATGGGAGGCTACAAGCCTCACCCCGAGAGTGCGGTGGATCCATTCTCGGAGGCATCACAATCCAAGTCGTGACCGATCCCCAACTGTCAAGCTAATGACGATAAATTAGCGCTTTTTGGGAGGCAACCCAACGGAGGTTTGTTTTTGTTTCTTTATTTTTGTTTTTGTGTCGAGTGAAGAGTTCGAGTGGTGAAGTGGTGTCCCCATGCCAAGTTTTGTGGTTTTGCGATTAAGGTTGTGTTGTGATCGATTAGGAGGCACGGTGGATTAGGTTTAGTCAATTTTTTCTCAGAAGTTTCCTGTTTTCTCTAATGTTCACGGACGGATTGTTTAGTTCACGGTCTTACAAGACTGTGAACACGCAAACGCGTACATGAACTCGACGCTTCTGCATGTTCACCACCTGTCGACCAGTCCTAGTTCATGGACGCATTTGAGTGTTCACGGTCGCTAAGACTGTGAACTCCGAGCTGTGCCTATGAAAGGGGCGTGAACGTCGACTCTTTACTTCAAGACCAAATCTTGTCGGGAAATTTCAAATCTTTTCCGGAAAACCGCGATACTCCTTCGGTTTTTTTTATTTTCCCCCCATTTCCGGCAAGCAAAACCTAAAACAAACGTCGTACCCATTCTTCCCTCATCAAAACTGGATTGTGCTGAAATTTTGGGGAGATTTGGGCCAACTTTTTTCCGGTCAAGTCGCCAGCGGCAAGCTTCTGGCGAGTCTCCAACGAGCTTCCGATGAAGCTCCGACGAACCCTCTCCAGTCACTATTTCGGTCGTTTTTCACCTTGCTCGCCCGCACCTCACTTCCTCCTACGTCATACTTGCGTCTCCAGGTTGGTAACTTATAATTTGTGGAGAATCGGATTAGATAGTGAAGTGAGGATGATTTTGTGCTTTGCATGATGAACCTAGATTTAGGGCAAAAAATTAAGCGAATTAGGTCAATTGAATGGTGGAATTTTTTTGCTTGAGCTTAGTTGAGCCTTGGTGGGGGTGTTTGATCCGAATTGCCTCTATTTTTAGAATTTTCCCACCAAGTGCTATGTTATGAATGCAAGTGGAGTTTTGTGCTTGATTTGTGGATGGTAGCCACCGTGGTTTAGATTGTGGTTCAATTTGTTGTGTGCTTGAACCGTGAATTACCCACAACCATTCCACGGTGGTTTGAGCTTAAATGTTTGATAACCATGGTGGAAAAACAAGTGTGGGGGAATCTCTCTTCCTTGTAATGGGCATTTTCTGATGATTGTTTCTATCATATTGTGTTTGTTATAACCTCGCCTCGAGCGAGTCATATTGTGCTTGTGTATGTGTGTTTTTTGTCTCTCCTTGAAGCTCAAAATATCCTACCCCGGATTCGATTCCAAATTTCACTCATCAAGCCCAAGCGGTAACATCATTCTACCCCTTTCTTACGCCATTGAGGGCAATGACGAGTTTAAGTGTGGGTGGGGGGGGGGGGGGGGGGGGGGTAGATTACTATTATGCTTGTGTGAGTGTGATGGATGCTTGGAACCATGATATATGCCCCAATTTCAAATATTTGAGGGCTCCAAGCAATGTTTGCATGATCAAAGTGGCCGGTGTGTGGGAAATTCTCGTGTTTATTGGCATTGATCTTGAATTGTTGCATCTTGAATTGTTACTTGTTGACTACAATTGTCATGCATTGTGTTTGTGAATTGGAATGGATGGTTGGGTGACTAGGTAGCCATGTGAGCTCTGAGCCGATCGTTTTCTTCTTGTGTACTTAGATCCCTCTTACCATAGCGAGTAACATCACGGTTGTCACTAGTGAGTATGGTGGAGGCATAGGATTAGTCCACGCCCAAATGTTGATTGTCCCGAAATGTGTTATCCACTAGTCAACCCCTTTGAGCATTGTGACTTCGAGGGTCATTCTTAAGTTAGGAGCTTCGTTCTTGTGAGCTTAATGGTGTTGATAGAACGACCCCCAATCCTTTCTTCATGTCTAAACATGAGTCGTCCTTGTGTCCCGGAGCTCTCACCTTTGAGTTTCCATAGATGTTCTACATGGCAGGTTTGTGTGCGGTACTTGCTAGGAATGAGAAAAATTATGTGTAGTGTTGGAGTGAGTTCCTCAAAAAGAGAGCATTGGTCGTTAAAAGTATCGGTGGCAAGTGTTTTTACTCTCTATTACCCCCCTCAAAAAGAAATGAAAAATAAAGAAAGGAAAAAGAGGTAATAAAATGGGGTAAATAAAGTGAGTGCCACGAAAAACCAAAGTACATGCTCTAGGAGGGGTTTCTTAGCACCCAAGCCATTGAAACCCCCACAATATTTTAGAACTCCTTCACTAAAAACCTTAATGTGC